AGCACCCTGACTTGTTACCAGAAGAGTGCATCAATAGTAGAGATAATCTGTGAGCTAATAGCGTGTCCATCATATTTTATAACTTGTGATGTTCGTAAAGCAGGTTGGTCATGTGACTGCACTGAGTTTATTAACTTTTTGGGAGTGGACATTAAGTGCACCAATGTTTTAACTCCGCTTTTTGGCAAAACCTTTTAAAACACAGTTATGTGACCATGGGACACTTAAAATAGTAAATCTAGCAATTGCCAAATGCCTGAAGTGTCAGAACTTCTAATCAGGTTCTAAATACCTCCCAGGTAGGCCAATTGGAACTATTAAGTTCCTGTCCTGTTATCCCTAATGCAATAGAGCTATACATACATTCACATAAATCTCTGGAGAAAGCATAGCACGTTCTCCAACATCATATGATGGAACTGATTCAATAATGTTGACAAACTTACCCAAGATATATTGCTAACTGATTGTATGGGATAATACACTACACTATATATACTGCCATACTATATCATTATCTCAAGAAAAGAGCAATATATCCCATTCATAAATAACTAACAATGATATCAAACTAGAATTACGTTGTAAGCAAAGAACTATAAATCCTGTATTTGCTTCTGCAAATGTAGAGCTGCCCTAAAAATTATATCCTGTGAACTTTAATCTTGTTTATATATAGTAGGACCATAAACTGCTCAGAGTGGATTAACAACAGCATATAATGAAAAAAAAATTAAATAAAATTTAAGGAATGCTTAAATGATTTCAAATTAAAGTGTGAAATTCAAAAATGAAATAGATAAGCATACATTTTAGCTATATAAACAATGTGAGCAAAGGCAATTGAAAATGAGAAGGACTGTTTTCATCAATGCAATCCATTAGTATCTACTTCTGTGTAATGGTACAATGTATTTTTCTTATACAAACCCTATAATTCTTCTTTCTGAATATTCTTTCCTTTTGTTCACGAATGGTGCAGTGAAGTTGAAGTAAGTTCTTCTTGGAAAGGCACAATTTTTTGCTGGTATTTGTGGCAGTGGTGCTTTGCTCACCAATATTTCCCAAGAAGTCAAATGCCTGGAATGATTTAAATATTTTTTATCAGAACGTGCATCTGGTTAACACAGTATAGATGAGCCAACAAGATGGGAAAACAAATAAAGAGTAACACAAGGACAATCAGACTCAGGATTAGGTTAACTTTTTTATGCCTTGGACAAGCTAAATATATCTCAGTCATGAGAGAACCTGGCAACAGTACAATATAAAGGCTGTCCCTCTTAAAAGTTGGCTCTGAATCAATCTGAGGCCACACACTACTCGGTTCATATATTTGAAAAGCAAGTTTCCTGTCAGGATGGCAAGAATCAAATACATTCAGCCTTTCTTCTATAGTTATAAAACATAACTTAAGCAGAAAGCTGAAAGCATTTTTCATTATTTTTCTCTTTTGGAGTGTCCTAGGTTTTCAGTGAGAATATAAGGTATGCAGATACAAACTGTTAGAATGATGACTACCTGTGATATTTTTAAAGGCCTTCTTCCTTTCAAATAGTCTCTTGCACTTATCAGCATATTCAACAAGGCATGGGTCTTCTATTATAAATATTTGGTTCAGTTAACATTTTCTTCCATAGCCATATACTACATTGAAAGAAATGCTGCTTGCTTAGATTTAGCTAACTTTATATTCAGAGGTGAAGGCATGAACAATTTCTTGCTAATGGTAATCTTATAATAAAATGCTATATCCACCCAAAAGTTCAGCTCCTGCAATAGCACTACTACCATAGTTACTGTATGTCTTTAAAACAGGAGTAGAACACATTTTTCAGCTTGGGTCCTATTTCTAAACATAAATAACACTGACCAGAACACCTGATAAATTTGTCAGGCCAGTTTTCAAAGGAGGCAAAGCAGTTAATTTAAAAGGGGTTTCATTTTTGCAGTTATTGAAGTTGTGAAACTCTTATTAACTAAATCAAAGGCTAAACTTTTATTTTCAATCACAAAAGTCTTGATCAATCTGAACTGTAACATTAGAATCAAGAAGTCATAACAGAAGTTAAAAATGGACTTGACCTTCCTCAATTAGCGATGTAGGAGATTAAAGGATGTATTTCTTGATCAAATGTAAGCATACCACAAATAAGCATGCCAAAGAATAAAAATTATTTTTCTGCTTCCGAGATTATGAATTCTAATTTATAAATAAAAAGGAGGAAATTTTTGCAGTAGAAAGAGGGATATATTTAGTAGGAAATGTTCACCCTATCCTTCATTGTATCTCAAGTGTCAGTTTTGGAAAAATAATGTCATCATATGATGATTATATGACGTTGTGTTTGTATCATGTTAGCTGTAAATATACAGATACATTAAAAGTAGCAAGAACCATTTACATTTAACTGAAGATAAGTGATTCTAATGATTGAAAATGTAGGTGACTGTCTAGTTTAAGAGGGTGTGTGGGATGTTCAGGAAGAAATAAGATCTCTGGTGGAGGGGCATTAAGTGCCCTTTTTAGGGCTGCTTGTTCACTTTTGATACCTATCTGGGTATCAAAGCAATAAACAAGTGATTGCATGCAGCTCCAAACAGAAAATACTAATTAAAACTATAAATCACATTTGTAGATATCAATATGACTCTAGGATAGAAGTTTTTAAATACTGCAATTTAAAAGAAAATGTGAGTTTTACACTTTATTCATCTTTAATTCAAGCATGTAGTATCCCAATTCTGATTGTAGTAGATTGTTTTAAACTTTGTCTTTCATATGTATATAAAATATATTAAGTTATGAATTACCGGAAACACAGGAAAAGTGAAGGTCATTTACTGTCTTCATGTGTGCCAATGCACAAAGCAGTAGTAGATAGAAGAAGAAGAATACAGAATTACTGAGACTTAAGTTGCTCAGTAAAAATCAGAAAGTAGGGTATATTCTAGGATCAGATATAAAATAACATTCTCAAAATATCAATTATTGTATTTTGCCATTCTAAAACATAAACCATGAATATCTGAAATATCACAGTCTTTTAATTTTGGTACAATGCAAAAAAATAAAATTTTGTTCTTCAAGACAATCACTGTGTTTTCCAAACTTTGTGCTGAGATGAGAAATACCTAATGGAGAGATTAATACAACATTTTATGTACAGATAAGACCTTGAGAAAATTGGAACATCCATGCCTTCATCAATCAAAACACAAGTGATATGAGTAAGAAAACATCTTTACTTTGATAAAAACTTGCAATTNTTCCAGTGCTAAGTGAGGACCATTTTATTTTCACAGGCTTTTAAAACATTTTAATTATATTTTAACATGTATTAATTCACCTTGTTTTACAAGGTTATGACCCCCTTACTGCTACTAGGAGTATACAGTGCATTTATGTAGTATTTGATTGGATTGGATATGTAGTAACTCAAATTGTATACTTTCTCTTTTTTGGGTGTAAAACACTCAGAGAGTTTTGACTATTGGGCATTTTAAAAATTTAAATAAATAAACAACTTATTTATACACTGAATAAGTATACTGTTTACTCTTTAGAGCAGACTTGCTTTTAAGAGCGTTCCCTCCACATCCTAGTGCTAGTTACGTACATCCAAATATCTTCCCAAGCAATAAGCTATATCCAGATTTACAAGAAGAGTAATCGGAGGGAGAGCCAGCCCAAGATTTCTCGGTATTATGGCTAGACAAGATCCCCTATTGGGAACTCTTTGGAGTTACATATAACAACAAATAAACATTACCTTAACCAAGTGAGGTCTGACTAGTGTAATAACTGATGTGTATCTTTCCAACACAGGAGGAAATCCTACTTCTAATTTAGCTTTGCAGTATCCTGTACGTTTGGATAATACGTCTGATTTTTTGCACCAAGGAACAAAGTTCTTGTATTCACTTACAACAGCTACCACGTCATACATTTCTTGCATAGAATACCTAGTAAATAATGCAAAAATGGAAAATACAATTATTAGAGATATGTAGTTAAAATATATTTTATTTCTCTCCTCCCCTTTACTGTTCCAATCATTCTTCAAACAAATATGGAATTTCAGCTAGCTTCCTCACACAAGGTTGTACTTCAAGGACACAATCCTGCCTGTCACTCCAGTATTTAATTGCTCTGAAACTGTTCATACTTTTCCTCTGCACAAGACTTAGTCCCAATGGATTTAGCAGAAGCCAATGTAATCTTGTGTATACAATTCTGGCCTTTAAAAGAATCCTTATTTTAATCATACCTCCTCTCAGCCTTGACTATTTCCTTATAACACAAGGATATTAAGGATTATTTAGGGTATTTTAATTCTAAAAGTTAAATATATTGGATGAGAAGTAAATAGAAGCTAGTAGTCAAAACTTTTGCAAACTGTTTGACTTCCTTGAAAAGGGTAAAAACTTTTAATAAAAAGATACAATAGTTAAATAGTACATCTTCTTTGATTAAAGGGAATAGCAATCAACTGGGGACATAATTTAACTCATTATTGTACGTGGTCTTTGTTTTTATTCCCCAAAGTGATTAAAGAACTGCAAACCAATCTTCAGAGCTCATTAAAAATGAATTTGAGAGTAGATAGTAAATAAGCATTAACTTTTAAAACTATAGTTTCATAAGCCAGTATGAGACTCTCAGGCAACATATTGAAAGGAGTTGTGGACAGCACCCTGACTTGTTACCAGAAGAGTGCATCAATAGTAGAGATAATCTGTGAGCTAATAGCTTGTCCATCATATTTTGTAACTTGTTCGTAAAGCAGGTTGGTCATGTGACTGCACTGAGTTTATGAACTTTTGGGGAGTGGACATTAAGTGCACCAATGTTTTAACTCCGCTTTTTGGCAAAACCTTTTAAAACACAGTTATGTGACCATGGGACACTTAAAATAGTTGTAAATCTAGCAGAGTTTCCAAATGCCTGAAGTGTGATCATATCACTGCGGGGCAGAACTGTCAGAACTTCTAATCAGGTTCTAAATACCTCCCAGGTAGGCCAATTGGAACTATTAAGTTCCTGTCCTGTTATCCCTAATGCAATAGAGCTATACATACATTCACATAAATCTCTGGAGAAAGCATAGCACGTTCTCCAACATCATATGATGGAACTGATTCAATAATGTTGACAAACTTACCCAAGATATATTGCTAACTGATTGTATGGGATAATACACTACACTATATATACTGCCATACTATATCATTATCTCAAGAAAAGAGCAATATATCCCATTCATAAATAACTAACAATGATATCAAACTAGAATTACGTTGTAAGCAAAGAACTATAAATCCTGTATTTGCTTCTGCAAATGTAGAGCTGCCCTAAAAATTATATCCTGTGAACTTTAATCTTGTTTATATATAGTAGGACCATAAACTGCTCAGAGTGGATTAACAACAGCATATAATGAAAAAAAAATTAAATAAAATTTAAGGAATGCTTAAATGATTTCAAATTAAAGTGTGAAATTCAAAAATGAAATAGATAAGCATACATTTTAGCTATATAAACAATGTGAGCAAAGGCAATTGAAAATGAGAAGGACTGTTTTCATCAATGCAATCCATTAGTATCTACTTCTGTGTAATGGTACAATGTATTTTTCTTATACAAACCCTATAATTCTTCTTTCTGAATATTCTTTCCTTTTGTTCACGAATGGTGCAGTGAAGTTGAAGTAAGTTCTTCTTGGAAAGGCACAATTTTTTGCTGGTATTTGTGGCAGTGGTGCTTTGCTCACCAATATTTCCCAAGAAGTCAAATGCCTGGAATGATTTAAATATTTTTTATCAGAACGTGCATCTGGTTAACACAGTATAGATGAGCCAACAAGATGGGAAAACAAATAAAGAGTAACACAAGGACAATCAGACTCAGGATTAGGTTAACTTTTTTATGCCTTGGACAAGCTAAATATATCTCAGTCATGAGAGAACCTGGCAACAGTACAATATAAAGGCTGTCCCTCTTAAAAGTTGGCTCTGAATCAATCTGAGGCCACACACTACTCGGTTCATATATTTGAAAAGCAAGTTTCCTGTCAGGATGGCAAGAATCAAATACATTCAGCCTTTCTTCTATAGTTATAAAACATAACTTAAGCAGAAAGCTGAAAGCATTTTTCATTATTTTTCTCTTTTGGAGTGTCCTAGGTTTTCAGTGAGAATATAAGGTATGCAGATACAAACTGTTAGAATGATGACTACCTGTGATATTTTTAAAGGCCTTCTTCCTTTCAAATAGTCTCTTGCACTTATCAGCATATTCGACAAGGCATGGGTCTTCTATTATAAATATTTGGTTCAGTTAACATTTTCTTCCATAGCCATATACTACATTGAAAGAAATGCTGCTTGCTTAGATTTAGCTAACTTTATATTCAGAGGTGAAGGCATGAACAATTTCTTGCTAATGGTAATCTTATAATAAAATGCTATATCCAC